GTCCCGAGGAATCCTGGAGCTGCTGCTGGAGAAAGTGCAGAGTGATGAGGGTCAGGAGAGCTTGGGCTTAAGGGTCAATAGTGATGGATGAACAGAGTCTTCCCTGGACACCGGCCATGGACGGAAGAGAAGGGGAGAAGAAGAAGGAAGGAAGTTGTCTTCTGTGATCTCTGACCTTCCTCTGAGCTTACGTAGATATATGGAATGGAATATCTTTGGCCAATTTTGCTGTCTGTCTAACTCAGCCTCCTACGGGGGGGTCACAGATCTCCCCATAGTGTCTGAGCTGGCAGAGTGAAGGTGCAGCCTTGAAGCCTCAGTAGTTAGAAAAACATTCCAGTGTCTTATCAGCCTAGCAGAACACACTGTTGCTAGTTACAAGAAAGTTCACTGAAGGAAAAAAAAAACAGTAAAAAGAAAAATTGGCTTCATCCTGGCTCAAACCAGGACACCCTTCAATACTGGAAGGCCACTATAAGTTCTCCCTGGGCCCTTCTCTCCAGGCTGAGCAGCCCCAGCTCCCTCAGCCTGCCCTCACAGCAGAGCTGCTCCAGCCCTCCCACCATCTCTGTGGCCCTTCCCTGGACCTTCCCACAGCTCCATGTCCTTCTTATGCCCAGAACTGGACACAGATCTTTTAAGTGACTTAATGAAACACTCTTTTCTGCCAGTCCACTCCTATAAAACTGCTATAATTGGCTCTCATTGGGGTTTTTTTGCCACTTAGCCTTTTCTCTGTCCTCAGTAATTTTTAGCACATTGTTTATATTTTCAGACCACCAGTTGAAATCTCTCTGCTTTTGAGTGGCTCCCTTTCCTGTGTCGCACAGACTTAAAATTGTTCCTCATTTTCATACCCATTCAAAACTCGTGTGTGGCTCCAACTTCCTTACCACCCCCACCCTACACCAGAGGTTGAATTCCAGCACTGCAGAGCCCACTCCCCTTCCTTCAAGATTTTCAGAAAGGTGCCTCCAACTCCGACGCTCCATGCTGCCTTTTTCTATGAGGTGGGGATGCCTTGTCAATGTCCTATCACTTCGCTGCCCCCTCAAATTCCTCATTAAATCTCTTCCCTCACCATCCACAGCTGCAAGCTGATGTCTGCTGGGACAGGCTCTGGGCTTGGGATCATCTCTGTGCAGCCCTTAGCACAAAAGGACCTAACTCATGGGTAAAGGTCAGATTTCAGCCTCTCTTTTTTGTCCACAATGACCAGAGCCTACAAAAAAGCCTTGACCCCAGAGGCTGGGATGTATTTGGCAGTGGGCTCCATTTAGTCCCTGTGCCTGTTGTACTTTGTGCAAAAACTATTGCTTGAGACAGGGTTTGGTGCACCACACAAAAGAAAATGGAGGAACCTGTGACCGATTATCTGATAAGGGCTCATTATCTTCCCCACGTGTCATACCTGCTAACTATGAGTGTTTTCTAAACTGTGTAAGAAATAGAAGTGGTAACAGACAGAGGTTCACTTGATAATAAAAACCACAATGGAAGTACCTGGGGAATGACAAAATATCACTCTATGTTCAATAATCATTTCCCCGTGGGAAGATTACCTGACATATTTCAATTCCCATGGCACATGACAATAACCTTTTGTTTTGTGAATAGCTTATTTCCAGTATGTCTGTTTTCAGTTGAATATGAGATCAGTCCAGTAATGTCAGCAGTTAAGAATCTTACACTTTGATTCACAAGGAGGATTTGAATGAATGTTTGAAATAAGAACTGAACTAAAACAGGTATGATATTCAATCATATCTGATTTGATGAACCATCAAAATCAACAATTCTTAATTTCTTTGATGTACCTTTTTCCCCCTTTTTTTTTTTTCCATTTATGGTATCAATGACAACAACAAAAATGTAAAAAAACCTTTAATGGTCGATTTCTGTTCTGGGTTATCATGCTCATTTAGTAGTAGAAAGTTGGGTCTTTGCTAAATGTAGAGCACTGCTCAGGAGTTCATAAGATTAAGTACACTAACCCAAAATTTAAAAGCATGTGACTTTAAAGGGCACTGAATATAAAGGAAAATACAATATTGTGCAAATGTGAAATTGTAAAAACAACCCTAGGTTTCAAAAAGCAATCAGTTAGTTCTAGGCTTTGAGAAGTAAAGTAATCCTATGAAAAAATAAATCCATTGTGTATTGATCAGCAATTGTTGACCATCCTGTTTCCATAGTTGGCACAACATTCTCTGGATAGAAGTCACAGGATTACAAGATTTTAATGCAAGTACCTTGCATAGATCACATGAGACATCTTGGTCTGAGGAACAGAACAGCTTTCTCTAATATTTGGGAAGGAAGAATGTCGAATGTGTTGTGCTTATCAGATTAGATCTGAATGTGAGGAACAGGGGGGCTGAATTTTGAAAGAAGAGTTTAAATACATGATGGAAGGATGGAGAGAAGGGAGGGGAGGCGAGGGGGGGACGGGAGGAAGGGAAGAAGGGAGGAGCTGTTTATGGGCTGTTCACAACAACTTTGCTGGTTTAACTGGGTGCTTATCGCTTTTAATTCCTAAGAACTGTGAGTAAATTATTATAGTGACATAGAATAACCTCATCTAATAAGGCTGACATGGACATGACCAAAGGAAAGTTTAGATTAAGTCATACATTTTTTCAGCTTAACTCTCTGCAGGCTTATTCTGCCCCAGGCAGCTCCAGTTTTTGGTTTAGGGATAATACCCACATTTTTTCATATTTGAATGAATCCAAGGATGTGGTAAAAGGAGGTACCTGAGTGTTAGAAAACACCATTAGACTTGTTTTTCCTTTCCTTTTCCACAGATGACCTGGACTCGCGATGCCCTCCTCTCTTCTCCCGTGAGTAACTCCCTTCTCCTTTCCGTGTTGAAGAAACACTGCTTAACTTTATGAGACAAAGTTAACTGTAAAGCTAACTGGTGTGTGATGGTATATACCACTGTCATGCCAGGATTAAGGTGCTGGGTCAGTGGGATGAGGATTCACCTGTATTTCAGACAAAAAATAATTATCTCACTTTCTCCTCAAAGTGCAGATCCAGTTCTTTATCATCATCTATTCTAAGAGAAGGAATTATGCCTTCCCTGCTCCAAGAGAAATGTTTTGGACTTTGGACTGCATTACACCCCCAAAAAAACAAAACCAACAACAACCAAAAAAACCCTATTTTCCAATAGAGGTGCTGTCTTGCTCTCTTTAAGTTAGTCCCTGTATTTGGAACAGCAATTAATTCAGTTAAACAGCTTGACATATAATCTTCTGAACTTCAGGCACTTGTTCTGAACCTGTTTCACACATGAAAGAAGGGCTTAGGAGGCCAAAATTTTCCTGGATCCTCTCCCCTGTCCATGTCACCTATACCTCCAAAAAAATGTTTCCTTAAATGACTTTTATTGCTCTAAACTTTAGAGCTGTGCAGCTGTTGCATTACTGTAGATGTTAAGAGTAAAACTTACACTTTTATACATGATAACTTTTCCAGTTTAAATAATTTCATTTTCTGTTACCAAATCACTGCCAGGGGTATTTGTGTTTGCAACTAATTGTTGCAAAAACATTGACAATCCTCTGCACAGGCTTAATCCCTCTGTGTTTGATCAGTGCAATACTTGTTGAGGTGTGAGTAACTGAGCCTTATAGCTGCTTGTATAAGCCATTAATTCAAGTCAAAGTTGCATGTGCTGATGCAGATTCAGATGTTTAGCCAGGTTATTCTTAAATCTTTGTTCTGTTGCAAATAAGTGGGCAATTACTGTCTTGTAAACTGGACATCTGCACTGGGCAGTTAAGCAGGATTTGTAGTAACAGATAGAATGAGAGGCTGTGTGGATCAATATGACCCATTTTGGAAGAGCAGCACAGATTGCATAAAAGAAAATCCTGTTTTGTAAACCTCTAATGAATTGTTCAAGGGGTCAGCAAGCCACGTAGGTAAGTGATCCAATTGATACAATCTGCTTTAATTTCCCATTAGTTTTTGAGGAAATCTTTAACCAAAGTCTTTTAAGGAATTAAAAGAATGGAATAGGGGAGAAATGCTAGACTGAATAAAGAACTGTTTGCCAGATAAGAAATGCAGGATAGAGGCAGACATTTTGTTCTTTCAGGGCACAATCATTCCTAGGGGAGT